CCTGACTACTGGAGGCCAGTCAGGCCGAGGAGGCAGCTCTTGCCAATGCCGAAGTGTGCCAGGGGCTGGCGTGCAGCAGCCTGCTTGAGGCTGGCAAAACCCTGGTTCGGTGCCTGAGTTTCAGGGCCGGACGTTCTGATGAACGACCGAAAATGGCCCTTGGGTTCAGGCTAAAAATGCTATTACCATTTTTAGTCTGAACCGTCGCAGGGGTTGTAGGCCCTGAAAGTCAGGCTTTCGGCCTGAACCGACACGGGGCCTATAAGCCCTGGATTTCAGGCTTTCGGCCTGAAATTCAGGCTTTTGGCCTGAAAACCGTCGGGCCTGCAAAATGGTCGTCGGGCCTGCAAAATGGCCGTCGGACCTGCAAAATGGCGCGTGTGTGCACACGCTGCATGTAACCCCCCCCCTCCTTATGAAGTCAAGCCGGGGCGAGGGCGAAGCTGTCGATCTGAAGGTGGAACCTGGACGAGGGCGCGGCGGGGAACCGAAGAAACCGGCTTGCCTTGCATCTTGTGTTCGTAGCGTGCGAGAACGTCTGGAGCTGTTGCTTGAAGTTCCGCACGGGTTAACCAACGGTCAGCTCGGTATGTGCAGTATGCAAAATGCACTAAATACTCAGTTGGCTTGTTGCCAAAGCGTCGTTGGGAGATGATGTCGCCGACCTCCTGAAAACCATCCATAGAAGGTGGGTCTTGTGTACGTCTCCCGTGAAAATCGTCATGATCCGCTGGCGTGTAGAGAGCCACTTTGGAGCAATGAAAGACTGGGTAGACAGGCAAGTGGCTAGACACCTGAATCGTGAAGGAGGGTCCTTCCGGTGCGTCCCCAGCGGGCTCTATGATCGGCCAAGGCCCCATCCATTTCGGAAGGAGCTTGCGAGAAACGTCTTGTTCAAGGCTGAATTCCGCGGCGGAAACCCAGACGAGGTCCCCAGCGTGGAATGGACAAGGAAGACGCTGGCGATTGGCCTGCTGGCTCATGCGCTGTTGCGTCTTAGCCATCTGGTCGCGTGCCTTGACAAGAAGCTCTTGCATCCGACGCAAGAAAAGAAGAAGGTCGTCGCTCTCGGCCATGCGTGGAGTAATAGTGTCCAACGGTGATGTGACCGGCGAGCCATGCTCGAACTCGAAGGGTGATATCCCAATAGCCGGGTGGATATGAGAGTTGTAGGCCAACTCGATGTCCGGCAGTCGCTCAACTCAGTCTTTCTGGTCGGGGCGGATGAGCGTGCGAAGGAGAACCTGTGCGGTTTGATGCGCCCTTTCCGTCTGGCCATCGGTCTGAGGGTGGCGAGCTGAACTGGGCTTGAGAGATGAGCCCCATCGCTTGATGAGCTCAAACCAAAAATCGGACATGAACCGAATGTCGCGGTCGCAGACGATCTCCTTGGGGTAACCCTTGGTGCGAATCCAATCGGCGTAAAGAACCTCGGCCAACTCCGTTGCCTTGGCATGATAGCGACAAGGCAAAAACATGGCGAACTTGGTGAGTCGGTCGACCACCGTGAGAATCCCATCCACTCCCGTCTTGTGCTTGGGGAACGGGCCGGTAATGTCCATGGCAATCGCTTCCCTTCGCCGCAACGGGACTGGCAATGGTCGTAACTCGGCGTACGGACGATGGTTGCGGGATTTGCAGCGTCGGCAAACCTCGCATGACTCGCAATAGCGCGTGACATCGCCGAGAAGGTCGGGCCACCAAAATCGCTGGCGAAGTCGGCCAATCGTGCGATTGACTCCGAAATGTCTAGTGGCGGGAGCGTCGTGGAACTCGCCAAGAAGCCGTGTACGCAAGTGAGGATCACTCGGTACGCAAAGAAGGTCCTTCCCCCGCGTGTGGACAAGCAAGTACCCCTCTTGGATCCGGTAGTGAGAAGGAGCCGATTAGGAGAGGAGCAATTCGCGTACTTGTCGCGAAACTCGGGGTCGGCTTGGTAGCCGCGGATGAAGCTGTTCCGCAGGTCGTCGTCAATCTCGAAGGTCGAGTAGACTGCGGTACAATGATCCGGACACCGTGAGAGAGCATCCGCAAAACGGTTCGACTTCCCGGGAATGTGATCGGGAAAGAAGTCGAACTGGTCGATGAAAGTCATCCATCGAGCGATGGTGCTGTTGATGGTGTCTTGGGTCTTGTAGAAGAGCAACGGATTGTTGTACATTACCCATCGAAATTGGCTTCGACCAAGGAGGAAGTGCCGCCACCGCTTGAGTGCGTGGACGAAGGCGAGGAGCTCCTTCTTACGTGCATCGTCAATGGAATGCACGAGGGGCTCTTTCTTGCTGAAGTACTCGACCGGGTGCCAGACCACACCATCATGTTGCTCGAGGACTGCACCAATGCCATAGCCTGACGCATTCGTAGTGACGTGCGTAGGCGCAAGCGGGTCGTATATCCGCAAGACCTCCGCAGACAATAGCGCGGCTTTGAGAGCGAAGAATGATCCGCGCGCCTCCTCTCCGAAGTCAAACGGCCGATCCTCGTACTGAAGCTTGTTCAAGTGGGCCGCGATCTTTGAGTAGCCTTTGATAAAGCGCTGATAGTAGCCGATAAGACCGAGGAACAAGCGGACATCTGTGACGTTCCGAGGCTCCGGCCACTCTTGGACGGCCTGAATCTTGTCCGATAGCGGACTGATGCCCTCCGGTGTGACAAAATGGCCCAAGTATTTCAGCTCTTGCCGGACAAATTCACACTTGTCACGGTTGGCCTTGTACTTGGCGCGGCGGAGCGTCTCCAACACTTGTCGAAGATGCCCCAGATGATCCTCCAATGACCAGCTATAGACGAGAATATCGTCTAAGTAAACCAGCACGAACCGGTCCAACATTGCACGAAACTCATTGGTCATCGTCGCCTGAAAGGTCGCCGGGGCGTTGGTGAGGCCAAAAGGCATGACCACCCACTCAAAATGCCCGTACCACGTCTTGAACACGGTCTTGTAGCGATCGTTCGGCTGGATGGAGATTTGATGATATCCTGATTTCAAATCCAACTTGGAAAAATACTTCGCGCCGCCCAGCCGCTTGAGAAGATCGTCGATGCAAGGAAGAGGCCCCGCATTCTTGACGGTTTGCGCGTTGAGCTTGCGTTAGTCGATACACAATCGTAGATCCTTGTTCTTCTTCCTGACGAAGAGAACTGGTGATCCATATGGGGAGCTACTCGGGCGGATCCAGCCCTTGGCCAACAAATCATCGAGTTGTGCGCGGAGGACCTCAAGCTCCTCCTCGCTCATCCGATAGATGCAACCTTTCAGCGGCACGGCACCGACCTCAAGAATGATCTCATGAGAGATCGGCCGACCCGGCACCACACCGGTAGGTGACTCGAAGATGTCGGCAAACTCGTCCAGCAACCGTACCACACGGGGGTCCGAAGACAAGTCCGTGGGTGAAGAGTCGGCTACCACGACGGTCCGTAGGAAATATAGGCCGATCTCCTCGGGCTGCTCGTAAGCGCAAGTCGCCCGGAATGATTTGGCCGTCACTACTTGGCACCGGATTGAAGTGTGCGGTAGAGGAATAGTACACGCCACTTCCGTGTCGAAGGCGTCGCGAACGCTAAGAGTCCGCCGATGGAAGTTGACCGTGTGATCCGCACTTGCAAGCCAAGGCATTCCCAAAATGATGTCGAAGTCCGTGTCGAGAATATCGAATGTCACCGGTTCGCATGCATGAGGTGCGAAGTAGACCGGTACGGCCTCGATGTAACGGTCGAGAAGTTGTTGCGTCTTACCATCCGCCAACTTGATCGCCGTCGGGTTTGCCTTCCTCCGAACTTGTGCGCCAAGGCCAGCCCTTTGCATAAAAGACTGGCTCATGAAGTTGCGAGACGCGCCGCTATCCAGCAAAGCGCTGCAGSACGCTTGCCCAACYTGAATGCGGACATACATGAGCGGTGCGTTGTTGTCATCGTACCGCTGCGTGCGAAACTCGCGGGCCACCTTGGTAATATACGCCAGGATGTCCCCCACCGCGACTTCGTCATCCGTCGGCGAAGTTGGTGGTGCATAGAAGGATAGGTAAGTGTGAAGATTAGCACTAAGTGCTGCGCATTGCGGTCTCAGTAAACAGCCTGTGGTCCGGAGAGGAAGCCATGCAAAGTCCTCAAACGTGAGCGGGTCCAATGCCTCTATATTGAACTCGCACGTCGAATCCCGTGACGAACCACTTAAAGACGATATGTCGCTGTTGTCGGACGGAGAAGAAACCGCACACACTCCTTGTCCTTGGGCTTGAGTACCCAGCGTTGGAACGAGCCGGGCAGCATAGTCCTCAAAAGAAAGTTAAAACGGAGAACTGTCGACTTCCGCGTGCGCCTCAGAATGAAGGCTGGTTACTCGCGAAGAAACCAGTTCCGAAGGCGTCGAGAGTGTCGTCGCGTCACTCTCGGCGGTGCTCAGTTTCCCTGTCTGCCCTTGCCTTTCAATGGGCAACCCTGCGTCTGATGAAGATCGTTGTTGCACCAAAGGCAATAGTGGAATCTCTCGCGCGCCTTGTATGCGGACTCGGAGATGCCATACGGGGTCCATGGGCCTGTCTGAGCTGCTGCACCGGGCCCGGGGCTATAAACGGTGTGTGTCTTCGTCTTGCCGCGTCCTCGGCCTCTGCCGGGGCGGCCACCTTCCCGGGCGGCTGCGAATCTGTCCCCTTCACTGACAGATACAACCTCGCTGGTTTGGTCTAACGGCGCTGCCGCTGCGACCACGGCCACTCTTGGCCGACGCTGGTCCCTGCTCGGGCCTGACACAGATGAACGGAGGTTCTTGGCCTCCTTGTTCGTGATGATGATCTGCGCAGCCTTGTCGAATAATTCCGCCGTCGTCGTCAAGGTGTACTCGACATGCATCAGGGCATTGCTCAATGTCGGACATGACCTTGAGATGAAGTAGTGGCAGATGGCCTTGAAGCCCATCTGGATGTCTGGGACTGACGTCAAGCGTTGGTACTCGGCGATCCAGTCCATACTCGGCAGCGTGCCTTGCTCGAAGACCATGAGCTTGTCCATGGCTTTGATCTTTGGCGGCTCCACCTGGAACCGCTTGTGCCACGCCGCCTTCAGATCATCCCAAGTGATCTTGGTGTGCAAGTCGTTAGCTACCACTCCGTATTTGGACAACAGGTTGTCCAACCAAGCCTGGCACGAGCCCCCTGAGCGAGAGTACAAGTATGTGTGGTGCTTGAGTTCCTTGACGTTGTGGAGCTGCAGTGTGAGCTCGAACTTGCGAAACCATGAAATTGGATCTGTCTTGATTGAATCGCAGAAGATCTCCTGCCTGTCAAACTTTGGAGCTGTCTCGCGCGGCTCCGGACTCGAGGTGGTGGCGGTAGTGCAGATCCACTGCTGCAACTGTTGCGTCACGGTCTGCTGTAACTGTGCGCCGTCCTGGAGGGAGCCGACGTGCATCTCCAATGCATTGAGGCGGTCGGCAGTATTGGAAGAGCCTGCGTCGGCGGCGGCGACTGGTCGCTGCTCCAACCGCTGAAAACGGTCTTGGAGGTGAGCTAGAGATCTGTCGAGACCAAGGATCTCTGCCTGCTGTGTAATGCAGGTTGCCAGGAGATCCGTGAGATGCGAGAGGAGGAGCGCTACCTTGTTTGCGCTATCCTCCAACTGGTTATTCTCGGCCTCGGTTCGCCATTCTGCTGCCATGGTAAGTAATGCCCGCTCTCCGATAAATATTTTCTCATGACGCTGTGTTCTTTCTTCATCGGCAGCCCTTGTTGTTGCCTCGTCATGCTGGCGCCGTTGTTCAAGTGCCAGCAGACGTGCCTGTTCGGCATCTTCTGCCTTCTTCTTCGCTGCTGCTGCAGCGCCATCTGCTCGTTTCTTAGTCTCGGTACTCCAGGCCAGCATGCGGGCCTGATAGGCCTCGTCCGCTTCTCCGGGCCTCTGGTCCATGACTGGTGTTTGAGATCTCAACAGCATAGACCGGCCGGGGCCTGGTGATGAGGTATCCCTTGCTGCTGACGTGGCCTGCTGACGTGGCCTACTGACGTAGCCTGCTGACGTGGCGTGCTGACGTACTGACGTAGTCTGCTGAAGTGGTCTGTTGACGTGGCCTGCTGACGTGGCAACTTACCAATGCCACCGCAGGGGGTACCCGGATACCAAGAGAAACGGTAAGGCGAGAGATGGCAACAACATAGGTGGGGAGGGGTGGGTGGGATAATCGCCCAACTCACACTCAGATAAGGAGCCACTAATCAAAGTAGAAAAGTTTGAACTTTGCAAAAAAAAATTTCGAGAAAATAAAAATCCCGATTTTTGCAAGTTCGGTAGGTCTCCCAACCTCCCTTGAAGTTCGAAATGATCACTGAAAGCAAAAAAAAAATTGACTTTGGACTGCAACCGATTTATAGAACCAACTGACAGAATCCAAGAACTGCGAAAAAAGTCCGAACAGAAATGATAAGTATTCGAATTTATTCCGATGGGAATATTCGCAGTTTGGGAAATAATACGTGCAGGAGGGATTTCCCGTACCGTTTTCAGAAAAACGAATTTCAGAAAAGAAGATATTCCGAATTTCTAAGTAACGGGAAGTGCAACAGGAAATCGAAACTTTCAAAAAGAAATATATTCCGAATTTTCAACAACAAAATTTCGAATTTTCAGAAATAAAACGAAAATGGAAATTTCAGATGTTGCGATGTAGCGATTTTCCACACAGAATAGCGAGAAATAAAATCCAAGAAAAAGAGAAAAAATTCGATTTTCGGTAGTGAGGTCAAAATCGTGATCTTGGGGTCTAACTAGTATGCTCTAATCAAGCAATAAAGACTAACTAGCTTCTTGATCCCCGCACACGTGTCAGATCAGATCGTCCTGATTCACGTGCAAAAGCTCTGATACCAACCGTTACATGCACATACATGCAGTGTATGCAATAAACCGAGAATCTGCAATGTGATGAAAAGGACTGAATAGACAATGCGGTACGAGTAGAATCTCGACAAGCAATGTACATTCTCAT